TATATATATACGTCTCCCAGAGTGATGTGAATATCAGAAAAAAAGAAAATGTTATTAGGGCTTCCCGCCCTGTGGTGTCTTACATACATTACTGCTCACATTCATTTGATCTTTCACGCTTCACTTAAGGCTTACTGCCAGGGATGATTTAATAAACTAGCCAGGCTGCTTCTCCCCAAGCAGAAGCAACGTGCATCTGAAGCAGTGGTTTACATCGAGGCGCGTGATTGCAGCGTGGTAGTTAACAGCAAACACTCTTTACTTTACCAGCTTTATGCGACAACATCAGACAACTGTTCCAGTGTGTGGACACCCGCTTTCTCCTTGTTTGGTTCCTCAATCCAACATTTGCCCCACTTCTTTGTTGCCTCATTTCACACTCCGCTATGTTTATAGAGTTTTAGCGTCAAAATACTAAATTAAATTGTGAAAGAATAAGAAAATAAATGTGAAGCACGGAGAGTCATGTTGGAATATAAGTCAAATAACAAAATGTTCTTTTCACATTTACATTTATTTACTTCACTAAATATTTCCAACTTGGCTGTAGGTTTACATTAGATTAGCATCTTTGGGAGCTACATATAGTTATTTTATTCAAATGTAGTTTGAATATATTAAGATCTGGTCTGTCGGTCATAGCGATCTAGTCTACGGGAACAATAACTATAAAATAAAATATCAACCAAGTTTGTGGCTCTGCAGCGTGACACCGGAGCACTACGAAGACCGGCTCATCTCCGCGCACAGAGACCACGTAGCGACTTATTCAGGTTCGCCTTCGGCCGAATGTCGATTTTAGATTAACGAAACGTCTCCACTGTCCGTTTGCTCTGAAGCAGAGGTCCAGCGGGACGCCTCATTGGGTGAAAACACACTGCCCTCTGTTGGTCCAGACACGTGCAGAATGTGACCACACACACACACACACACTGTCCAGGTCACACAGGTCTCAAGCCTTAGAATCTTCATCATTAAAGAAATCATGCAGCCATTCAATCAAATAATGATATCGGTGACAATTTGCCCTGACCGGGCTCTCCGATGGAGGTAATGAACCATGTGGGATGGTGCCATCTCATTCCGGAGATTTCACTTGCAAGACATCCTGTTAATTGAAGCCTGGACTGAATGTCTGTCAGGTGGCCATGTTAGAAATCGGGATAATTGACAATTATGCGATGACTTTATGGGTCAAACGGCACAGCTTTTGCCGGAAGCTCAATTTCTCATTCAAAGGGAATTTTTAGAAGCAAGATGTACAAATCATTGACAAATAAATAACAAATGAGCAATTAGAAAAGGGTGATATACTAGAAATGATTTAAAAAAAATATACAGAATGTGAAGATAAGGAACAAAAATAACAAAATGGCCTTTTCATTTATTTAACCGTTTACGTCAACTTGTTCTATATTTCTAACATCTATATTCATTTTGGAATTTGGTATCATATAATCAATTAAGTAGCACAGATTAATTGCTTTAAAGCAACAGTATTTTTTTTTTTGGCAGCTTCGGGAACAAGTTTACAACACAAGATCGACATAAAAAGTCATATAATTGTCTTAGATAAAGACACATAACTCAATATTCATTTAAACATTTATGGGGTTATTTCAGTTTAAAATTGTCAAATATGTTCAGGGAATTTGAGTCCTGCCAAACTGTCTTTTTCCATGTTTTTTGACAGACAGTTTTTGATTTTACAGGACTGCTTTAGAAAAACAATAAAACCAATTCTGGCTACTTAGGGAAAGCACAAATAAGCTGTAAACACAACTCCAACATGTTCTCAGCTCACAATGTTGACGAGGGGAGAGATCTAATGAGGTGGGCAGCGTGGAGGCAGCGCGGAGGCGTCACTGGGGGGCCGGTCGCCGGCGCTTTGGCCAGACTCTGCAGCAGATGTGAGGCCGCGCAGCCTGAGGGGGGAGACAGTGACCACCGAGAGGGGGGAGTGGCTCCCCCTCCCGTCACCCACCCTGGCAGCCGGCTGTCTCTCTGCCGGCCGTGCTGCTGCTGCTGCTGCTCACGAGTGATTAGCAAACCGATGAGACGATGTGCAGCGAGGGCTTCGGTCACACGCAGCTCACGCTCCACGCGTCGTCTCGGGATCGAATTGCCCCTTGATGGTTGCTGTTTCCCATCCTGCTCCTTGTGTTTCCCCGACTGCGAGCAGGGGACTGCGGACATCGGGATGATGTGTTTGTTGTTTTGAGCCTGAGGCTTTTTTCCTTCTTCTTTCTGATGGGGGGGCGAGCATCCACTCCTGGGCCCTAACGCCTGCCTCTCATCCGACGCCATAGCAGTCGGTATCTAAGAGGACCGACACCAGCCACTTCGCTGGCCTAGAAGATGACGAGACGCTTAATACAGGCCCAAGCGTAGACCCAGAGATCGGAAGTATTACGTATAATATGTGTATTTACAATAATAACTTCTTCACCACTCTCCTGAAGCATTGGAGAGTGGTGTGTTCTTTATACATTGAATTTCCATAAAATAGATTTATAACACGATATATGATTTTAATAATATTCTTTGTGTCGGGATTTGTTTCGTTATCGGTCTCTTTAGATTCTCTCAGATTCATCGGCTCAATGTCATTTTAATAATTTCAGGTTTTCCCCATCTGGATTTAGATTGCAATCATTCCGTTACACACAAGATGCAGAGCTGCTCGACACTATCCCAGTAGACAAGTCCAGCAGCATCAACTGGTGTCCTCTGCTGTAGGCCAGTTACGTAACGGCCCGAGGGTCAGAGGTGGTGGGTGAAATCTAGCGTCTCCAGATGTGTGTTGCCCAGTGATGACGGTTCTCCCGCGAATGGAAGCTCATAAAGATATTTTCCCAACCAGTGTCCGAGGGGTTTGCTGGAACTGGCTGGTTTTCCTTTTCCAGTCTGTCTTCCTGTCCAGTCTCCGCTGTTGTGGTCTACCAGCATCTTGTAGTATCCCGAGGTCCAGACTATTGGGGATGTCCCCCCCCCTCAGCACAGTCCCGAGGCAAAAATCAGACTGGAGCGACGCACTCTGCTCTGCACGTCTCTGCAGATGCATGATGTTTGTGCTGAAGAAGCATGAGGGCCACTCGTCTCCTGGTATCCAGGGAGGGGTTTGTAAAATCAAAATATGCCCCCTGCTGTGAGCGCATGCAGCATTAGTCATGTTGGATATGTGTTCCCTGGCGGAGAGAACACTGAAAACATCTGGCTCTGACAGGGAACCGAGGCAAAGGCACGGCCCGCCTTGCAAGGTGGTTATCTCTCCGCTTGGTGTTTCGGGTGGAGTGGGACTGAATGTCATTAGGTCTCCAGAGACGGAGGAACGGCTGCTGTAAAGGCCTCGAGGCCGTGATTGATGTCTCGGCACCTCCGTCCGCCTCTCGTCACGGCGACGAGGTTTCAGCGCGGACGAGGAAACGGCGGGTTGGAATGCTGCCGGGGGTTTCTGCTCATCTGCTAACGGGACACGTTTTTCAACCCGAGAGAGGAAAAAAAAGTCATCTCATTTCACACTAAGAAAATGCCCTCTTCTCCTGACAGAGAGTCATTCCGCTGAATCGCTCCTCTTTGGAGCCTTTTTACAGGCGAGAAGGTAACTGCAGTTTCTTTCTGCTGAGACCAGGTCCATTAACAGATGCTGAGGCACCAACTCCTGTTAAATATTGCACCAGTTTAAAGTTTGGACACATTTTCCCATTCAATACAGTGAGAAAGTGTGTCCAAACTTTGGCCTGTTGCTGCAGAGCTGAATCCCTGCAGAAAAAAACCTCCATGCGAATGCAAACCTTCTGGGTTTTCAGTAATGAAAACACGAACCTGGAATGTTCAACTGATCACTGCGTCAGATGAAAAGAGTGGAAATCGTTTTTTCACGTGACGGCGGCGCTCCATCAACCAGATGTTCAGGTGTTTCCATTGAAACCAGAAATGTCAAACTCTGTCAAGCAGGTGTGCGTCCCCTGAGGACCATGTCTGTACAAAGGTCACGGCAAACCAACATTAGTTGACATATTTCCATCATTTGATGGCGATTTCATGCTACAGTTACACAACATAAAAAGACACCACATGAACTTTATTTTGCCAGACTTTTACTGTTGTTCCTACGGGGTAAAAAAGAGGATATAGTTTCTCCTCTCACTGAAGCCGTAGTACCAGGTGTGCCAGTATTAAATGCGATTAAGCCTGATTAAACCTTACAAAGTCATTTGCACGCTGGTCCGTTAGCGGCAGAGGGGCTCATCCGCCATGGATGAGTAGCGAGAAGCAGATTTTGATTCCCTCATGCCTTTCCCCGTCGCCGACCTGCCCCTCAACGCAGCGTGTGGTTTCTATGGAAACCACCGGGCCAATCCCCTCTCCCCTCCTCGGCAGCACAGCGAGCCGCCGCCGCGCCGCGGTCCCTTCTGCTGGGGGGGTAAATGCTGGTTTGCACCCTTTCTGTGCAAACGCACACGCGTTTGAGTCTTTTGAAGTGTAGCTCGTTGTCATTTTTTTAAAGTTGCACTTGGCGGGTAATAAGAAATGCATAACTTGAATTAATTAAGTCTAAATGTGTGTTTCTTTTGGGTTTGATCCAATGGAAAGAGACACATTTAAGCTCCGAATAACTACACACATGAGAATGTGGTGAACAGCGTGAGAACGTGCGAGTCCCTTTTTGTTTTGTAAAACACTAATAGATATTGACCATATGGTTAAGAAGACCTGATGGTAAGTACACGGATAAAGATGGAGAATGTTAAACACAGGACAGTGTGAGCTCTGCTTAATGAGACGGGCGGCTTGCCGGTTTAATCGTGAGACTGCTGAACGTGAGCCCATCGTCTCCACTGTGACCAAGCTCTTGAATGAGCAGAAAGCCAATTCAGGGAGTGTGTGTGTGTGTGTGTGTGTGTGTGAGCGAGCGCGAGGGGATGTGTGACCAAGGGAGCTTTAACTGTATCACAGTGAGTGTTTGCTTCAGCTTTCTGCTCTCCTGCTCCCCGCAGACCAGACACGGGAGTCCGCAGCTCCGCCATGACTCACAGACGCCGCCATTACTTGTGAGTACTTGTTGTAAATGTTGCATGCTGGACCATGTGGAGGAATGAGGTGGTAGTCAAGAAGAATCCAAGGTGGAAAAAGCTCACTTAATGATACAAAATGTTTTTTTTATTTCCTGGCTATTTATGTGGTCGTTTTATGAACAGAATACATTGTATTTGGGCATTTTATTGTTTATTTATGTGTGTGCTGCTCTGTGCACGGTCATGTGTTTTCTGTGTGTGTGTGTGTGTGTGTGTGCATGTTCCTATCGTATCAAAGACTCAAACAGACTCCACACATCCGTGTCCGCTGTTTGCGTGGCTCTGATGACGTCACGGTGGCTGAGCTATTTTTAGAGAGGGGGTCTGAACAAGGCAGCCCCCCCCTTTCCTAGTGTCGTTTTTACTTGAAGCCTTTCGTTGGCGCCTCCTTGTCTGTCAGCCGGTTTAATCTCACTGGTTTGGTAAGTTTGGATTCATCCAATTGTGGCCTGTCACGGTAGTTGGGCTGCTACACGCGTGCACATCGTCACAGCCACACAGACGTTAAAACTATAATTGCTTGACAAGGAAGTAAAGGTCTGTGAAAAAATTCAAATATATGTGCTGATAGAAAACGTTTAGACTCTCCTGCAGGATAACAACTCCAAAACATGTTCGCCCATGTTTGGTGACGGTCGCTTCCAGCTCTGCCAATATTCCATCCATCCATCTTCAATCCGCTTACCCTGCACACAGGGTCGCGGGGCGAGGGACGGGGGGTCACCCTGACCTGGTCGCCAGCCAATCAACCAACAACATAGCGTGCGCAGTGCTTCCCCCCGAGGTTTATAGCTTTTGGGCTCGGAGAGCTGACACGTGTTTGCTGGAACTGTTGCTGATGTTGTTTTCCTGTCCGGTTTGAAGTAACCTTGGAGAATAGGAAGGAACTTCCATCTTTTGATGCAAAGCTGGTGTCCCTCATCACCCGTTCCCGTTCACACCTGGTTTTACAGAGCTATCGTAACTAGCCAATCATTGCTGGTGGAACCGTAGTTTTTAGTATATCTTTGTCTTGTGAGAAGCTGTCATCAGCTTCCCGTCCATTTTCCTCTGGAGAGTCCAGAACTAATCCAATCTGTAGTGAAAGAAAGAAGCGTGGAAAGGGGGGTTGGAGGCGATGGGGGGGGGGGGGGGGGGGGGGGTATTGTCTTCTCCCTTGTCGAGCTCGCTGAGTGTCCAAACCCCGGTGGCGTTTGTGTGGTCTTCAAGCTCTGTAGGAACAACTGGAACTGTAATGACTTGTTGTGTTTCAGGCCCTTCAGCGATGCCACAATGTCATTCTATTGCAGGTAAAAGATTCTTTTAAGGACTTTACGGTGAATATAATTTATTCTTTTGTCATTTTATCATTTTTATATATAGAGGAGGATTTTAGTTTTTTAGTGGATAAAGTTTGCTAATGTTGGCAGCGTTTCTATAATTATTCTATATAATTATCTAACTGACATCACCGGCAGGGTCAGTAGTTGCATTCATTCATTCGTATTCAAATAGTGAAGAAAAAAAAAAGAACACAAAATGTAGTGGTCTTTTGTTAATAATGGACGCCATCAGCGCAAAGGTGCAATATTATGGCGACGTGATTCCCGACGTGGCAACGGGCAAATGCTTGTGTAAGAGCTCTTCAGAGGAGCGCCGAGCAATTAGCCTCAAACGTCTGCTGCTAATTGAGAAACTGTGCCGTCAGATAGTGAACGGCGCGGATGAGATTAATGCCGGGCGACGCCATTCGTCTTCCGCGCGTGTCTCAGCTGTGCCTCAACAGGGCCGCAGCCATCACTCACCGTGACAGCCGTATCAAATGGAGCAGCTGCAGCCCCCGATTGATTGATTGATTGATTGATTGATTGGGTTATATTGGAAACGTGGGCGTCATCGACGTTGTTCGCGGGCCTACTCACATCACAAAAGGTCAATGAGGAATGAGGCCACTGGGACATTCGGGGAGACCTCCTGCTTGAAGTTGAACGGCAAACTCACGCGTGCACCTTTAGTGGATGTTTCCAGCAGGTTGGCCATTAGCTGCAAGAAGAGGACTTGCAGCTAATCAAAAGTGACCTCACATAAGCGTCGTCATCGCCATAAATAGATTTTTTCTTTTCATTCCCGCTCTGCCGCCACCGCTGTTTGTGTTGAATGGATCTAATTGTAAAGTCTCTTTCATGGCGGCGCAGCCGAGAGTAGCAGAGATCAAAGCGGCCCTCGCGCTCCCATGAATCCGCACGGTGGCAGATTTCGGGCTGCCGGGTGCCGCGCTAAAGCTGTATACCTGCACAACACACACACGCACACACACACGCGTGATGATTATCCGGTTGTGCTCAGCAGTCAGGCTGGAGCTGTCAGTTATTGGCTGTGCATGCACGCAGGGTGGATAACAATGCGGCTGGCTGTCACAGAGCCAGCTGTTCAAATGCCAGATAGCATCAGAAGCGACCGCATCCGCCGCGGTCTCCTCGGGCCCCGCCCGTCTTTATTTCTTAAATACATATTTGTTCTCGACAGACCTCTACGTGATTAGATTTTGCAGCAAATGTAGCCGCGGGGCTTTCATATCATGATGATTATCTGCAACTTTTGTAGAATTCTTTTTTTTTTTTTTTTAAAAGGCTGACTTTTTGGACTTCCGAGTTGGCTGCTCGTTTGCCGTATTGAGCAAAACTATATTATATATTAACGGGAAAATGGGTTGCTGTGTGCATCCGCTGTTTTGGCTCCTCACGCCATGCTAACCTCCTAAGAACTCTGGGTTTATTAACTGTACCTTGTCTGTCTTTTAATCTCAAAAATGTCATATTTTACTGTAAGAATGGTGGAAAATGTAATAAAGCCCCAAATTAATACAAATAACTTGACCGATGATGCTAAAAAACATCCTGATGGATATTGTAATAAAATGTTTCCCGGGATGCCCCCCTGCCTCCCCCCCCCGTTTGTGGCTTCAGCCCCCTGTGCAACTGGAGGGTCTTGGAGATTAAAATGGACACAAATCAAAGTGAAAACCTTCCAGGGATAAAATGGACTTTTGTCAGCCCAAACATCACACAGGCTGCGCTATCGGATCCAGGATTTATGCTGCCTCGCTGCTCAGTTCTACATCAAAAGTCATTTGGCAAATCTAGGCAGAACAAAAGAGGCCACATCTGGTTATTCCATAATGCATAAAACATGAGGTGTCAAACGGAGACCTGCGGTCGGGCTGGAGCAGGGAACCTTGCTTGCATGAACACTTTTTGCAACCATCTTCCTTGCTGCATTTTGCATTTATGGTTTCTAACAACTATCCTGCTATCCATTATGCATTTTGCCTGCGATGACTAAAAAGAGCTGTCACGTGTGCATGTGCTTTATGTCTCTCTAATCCAGTCCACTTTCCATAAATGCATTTGTGCGAGAGCTCCAACGACTGTATTCTCCTTTCGTTGCTATCCGGCCGGTCTGAGGCTCCTGGTTCTGTATTTGTCAGCTTGCAGAGCTCACACAGTCCTGACCGTTTAACATCACTGTCATGGTGACGCCCTGTCAATATCAACCAGCATCCTGAAATATGTCACACATGTCCTAATTAGACCGTTGCCATCTGATTCGTGTCACTGATGTGTTTTCTTGTTCTATAGATCACATGTATTTGCTGTGAGTCGCTTCATGTCTCAAAGGCTCTTTGACTCTCTCGGTGGTCTTTGACACCTTGTGCCACCTCCCAGCTAGACAGATGCATGGATGGAAAGGAAGATAGAAAGATTCAGACGGCTGGATGGATGATGGGCGGATTGGACGGATGGATGGATGCATGGATGGATGAATGACGGTGGAAGAACCAACGGACGGGCGGCTTTGTGAATGCACGATACATGGATGGAGATAAAAAAGGAAACAACGGCTGCTTGGAGGAATGGAAGATGAAGGGATTGATGAATGGATGAAAAAAAGGGGAATTTATGGATTAGGAAAGAATGGAATTTATGGATCGCTCAGTGGAAGAGCTGACGGCTCTCCGCTTCAGACGGTTTGTTTTCAGCCACTCGTCACTGTTATCGAGGATCTGCGTGTTTAGTGTGCAGCTCCGGCTCCTCGGGGCCGTCGGGCCCTGTGTCCATGTAAGCATCAGTAATTATGTGGTGATAAACACTCCAAATGAATTATGAGATTACAGTATTGTATAACCGTAACAACAATGTTATAAGCACTCATAATGCTTTAGGAGAATATAATAAAAGGCATTTTTATGGTGACTAATTAGGTATCTAAGTATCTAATGCGTCTAATGCATCTAATGCAATCTAATGTCATGTTTTAAAGTCAAGGAAAACAGGTTAACTTAAAGCGAGCAAAGACAGCAGACGTTGTAATGCTTTCTAAAAATGATGTACTTTATAGAAACAATGGGAATTGTTATACACAATCCTTGCAAAAAATATTATGATACTTGATCTTATAGGTTATTATACATCGGTCCTAAAATGATTGTTTTAACTACGATTATACAGTGCTGTATACAAATTAGGGTTGTGTGAGGCATTGTAAATATGTTAATACATTATAGACATAGTATCACTATAATACCTCAGCACTGACAGGGGCCATGTAATGAGTACATTGAACTGATATATTTTACTCTTGTACCTTTTAAGGAGTACTCAGTTTCTCAGAAACGTTTAGGATCAACTCTCAAATTTACAAAACGTAAAGCTGCTCTGACGTTTCATTTTTCTTAAAAGCAAAAAGAAGTTGACAGCATCAAAGAGTGAACTTTTAACAGGATATACATTATTCAAGAGTGACGCAAAGAAAAACTTGCACACGAAACAACAAATGAGGCAGCTTTTCAAAACGGCTCCATGGCTGCAAAGTCTGCAAAGGTCTCCCCCATGAAGGGTACGGCGCTCAGCGTCGACCTGCTGGTATTCTCAGTCACACGGGGGCATTCGGGTCTGATGAAATGCCACCATGCATGTGTTGAAATGACTGCCTCCCTC